ATTGACTGCTAGAGCAAGGCTTGGTGGTGCATGCCTGTAGTCCTGGTGCTCAGGGGTCCGAGGCAGGAGAACTGCTGAAAGTTTGAGACTAGCCTGGGCCACATAGTGAGTTCAAAGCTAGCCTGAATTACATAGGAAGACTGTGTCTCAATCAATCAACCAAATTGACCACCAGAAGCTGCACATGGTGGCACATGTTGTAATCCCAGCTGTTTCAGAGAATGCTGCAGAGGAATCACTAGATTAGGTCTAGTCTGGGCAATTTAGCAAGACCTTGGTGCAAAAAAATGTGGGATTGGGGCATGGCTCAGTGGTAAAGTGCTTGCCTAGCACGTGGGAGACCCTGGGTTCAGTCCCCAGTACTGTGAGGATTAGTGCCATGCACCAGGAGGTTATTGGTAACTTTTGACAAGAGCTGTCTCTGTACAGTGGTGGGATGATAACAGATTACATTTGGTCAGGAGGGTTAGGGCTTTTTGGGTTTTTTTGTGGGTTTTTTTTTTGTTTTTTAGTTTTTTTGTTTTTTTTTTTTTTTGCTTTCTTCTAAAGGAAGTATTAATAGAATATTTATTTACTATTGAGAATGAGCCAGTAGAAACACTGGTGCAATATAGATGTAGCAGTTCCTAGATTGATGTCTTAAATAGGAGAGATGGGTAGGGTCCAGGCATAATAAACAAGCCACACACAATTATTTGTCACTTCTGAAACTTGTCCTCATCTCATCCTGTCCTCCTCCTGGCTGGGCAACCCTCACTTCCCTTCCAGCAGCACCACCACTGCTCCTTTTACATAGTCGTTTTCCAGCTGCAAAGTACAATGCATGACATGTTCTTCGTGGCACCACTGTGTAAGTGGCTTGTTTCCATGAGGTATTGTGGTACCTTTGTTGTACCTGACATCCTGTATTGTGGACTGCCTAATGTTTTAATCTTTCTTTAATCTGCTTTGATTTTAAAGGCTCATGACCCCTGCTTTCGGACTTCATTGAACTACTATAAGAGATGAGTTAAAGGGCCAGGGAGATGGCTCAGTAGAATAAGCACTTCCCTGGCAAGCACAAGGGTCTGAGTTTAATCCCTGATTCCTCAAAAAAATTTTAAAAAGATGAGCTAATTAATATTTCTAGCTCATAAAAGTTCTTCATATTTACTGAATGAAAATGTCCTGTATAGTTGTTACTCTTTCCCATTTGATGACATTGGTTCACCTTTGGAGGACCCAACCCCACTGCTAAGTGTTTACTTTGCACCCACAGCACCTGCATACACCTGCATCGTGCTTTACACTGGAGGGTGCTCTCTGTCTGAATTATATTAGGAATCTGTGTTCTCTTTACTGCCTAAGCAACACTCTGTGTAACTGTGACTCTCTAAATACTTTGTGTATAGTAAATATTTCTGAGTTTTTTGCTGAACTTTTTTTCTTGGATCCTGCTTCTACTTTTCCAAGCTACAATATACACTGGTACTTTATAGGCCAGTTCTAGCCAGAAAATACCCACTGTCCTATTTCCTAAGTTGATCCTAGAGAACCAGTTTAATAATCAAATCATCTCTTGAGAATTAATGATTTCTTTTTTTTTTTTTTTTTTTTTTTTTTTTTTTCTTTTTTTTCGGCAGAACTGGAGATTGAACTCAGGCCCTTGCACTTGTCAGGCAAGTGCTTATTCTACTGAGCTATCTCCCCAGCCCCAAGAATTAGTAATTTCTTAAAGACAAATTCTTTCATACTTGCTAGCTTGCTTGACTTCTGGCCAAATCAGTGCTTTTTGGTTGAGGGTGAGGTGTGTGCGTAAAGTTTGATGCTGCCTTTAATAAAGACAGAGCCAGAAAAAAGTTTGCTTTGGAATCCAGGCTGAGCCAAGTCCAAGTTCTACCACATAGGTAAGTCACTCCGTGTCAGTCACCTTGAGGTTAAAGTGTTCTTTGGGTTAATAATGCCCACTTTTTATAGATGTGTTGATTAAGGTTAGATGAGATATGTGTGGAAAATAGGCCCAGTGTCTAGAAAATTAAGTACTGAATAAATAAATGCTCACTGGACTTGTTCCTCTCTGTGTTTTTGCTTTTCTTTTTCTTTCACACTGGACTGTCCTATTCCTGATTCAAAGCTACAGGAAAAATACTGCAGCATGACTGTGTGCTTTTCCTAGAAAGTCCTGGAGACGTTTGAGCAGTAGCTGCTTTCCACCATCTTGCTTGGCCTGTCTGCCCTGGGTTCACATGCTTACGGCATTTTTCACCCTTTATCTTATGCTCTGCTTCCTACTTGAATGTAGTTCAGGTTCTAAAAGTTCCTGGCTCTCCATCTTCCCCCACCCAATGCCCATCCATCCTGTTGAACTTCAGCTCCTGCAGTGACAGCTGTTGTTCTTAGGCTTTTTAGCCCAGACTAGACACATGGTGCAGATGACGCCACCTGCTGGAGCCCAGCTGGTCCTTGTGGAGGTTGCACAAGCGTTTTTGCATTGGGATTGAGGTCTAGGGGCAGTCTCTTCACTCACTAGTCCATTTCTACAGGGAAGAGTTCTCTAGTCATTGGTTTTTCTTTTAGCTCCGAGCTCACATACTTGAGAGAGTAAACAGAAATAGTGCCAAACTGTTAGAAAAGGCAGTGTTCTTGTTTTACTTTTGATCAACTTCTGATTTCTAAGTTTTCCATCTGTAAAATAAGAATTATAACTCATGAATTTTAGCTCTGCAGGGATTACAGCTACTCAAGAGGACCTATCAGTTTGAGGCAGCATGGACAACATAGAACTTCCCTATCTTAAAAAAAAAAGTCGTGAATTTTCACTCGATTATTATAGTAATAATATAAGGGATACAAAAGGCTTGAGAGCCAAGAAGATAGCTCAGTGGCACAGCACCTGCCTAGCATGTGTAAGGTGTTCAGTTCAATCCCTGGTACAAAAAAAAAGGCCTGAAAAACTATAAAATGTTTTTTAGCTATAAGACAGTGGTGTGATTCTCATTTCCTATCCCAGACTGGGCCATGCTTAGAGGACACATGGTGTCAGACACTATATTTGCTTATTTACTTTGTAGGGCAGAACCTGGTGGCTCCCAAGCCCACAGTACCATGGGCTGTCCCTCCATGCTCTTGCCCTCTATAAAGATATCGTACCATAAGCCAAAGCATCCACTTGCCAACTCTCAGTTCTTCGTAGCCATGGTTGCTATAGCCTGGTAACATGGGTCTGGAAACCTTTTTTCTTACTGTTTATTCCAGTGGTAATGCCAAGAAATAATTTTGCCTTAATCTCCTCTCAGAACTCTGACACATCTATGTTTACTTGACCAGGCTATAAGAACATTCTAGTTTTCTGAAATGAGAGAAAAATATTTCTAGCAGGCTAGAAGTATAGCGTAGCATCCAAGCCCTTGGGTATGATCCCTAGCATGGGGAAAAAACCTTTCTAGCTACCACTTAGTTACCTCTGCTGTATTTCATTCTCTTAGCATCATTTGAAATTGGTATACTATTGCCAGCTTACTGAAAACAGATTCAAAAAAGTACTCTCTTCTTCATAGTAGTGACTGACGTGGCAAAGCTGCAATTTGAATTTCAATTGCCTTATCCTAGACTTGTTCTGGCCATCATACCATGAGGCCTCTCATCCCTGTGCGAAGAGAGGCGCTGTGCTACATCAGATAACGCAGGAGATTCCTTTTCACATCATCTGAATGCAGGTTCTAGCTCTGCCTGTATGATCTGGGGCAAGTGACCTCCAACTTCTCCAAGCCGTAGATATGTCCCATTAAACCCCCACTGCCTGTGTGTGCCATAGGTGCTATTCCTGTTTGTTTTCCATTTGAGGAGGCCTCAGTCGGGTGAGATAACTTGCCAGGATTGCAGAACAGTAACAGTTAATCTGACTCAAGTTTATGTCAAACGCTTGATTCATTGTTCTTCCCACCGTCTCACAACTGTTTCTAACACCTGTTGTAGTACTGAGGCAAAGTTCCATCCAGAATGCTGGCTGCAGAAGCAGGAACCTCACCTTTTTCTGTGCTCTCCCTTTTGCTTCTTGTCTCTCCCTCTTTTAGAAACTTTACTAGGGCCGTGCCAGCCCCACCCCCAGGGCGCCCTGAGATGGCAACTGAGACTGGGTGTGGTGGCGCGAACCTGTAATCCCAGCGCTCTTGGGAGACTATAAACAGATGGATCACTACAAGTCTGATCTAGTAGTGAGACCCTAATCACTCTGTAGACCTTTCCCTAACATACAAAAAAAGAAAGAAAAAAGAAAAAGAAAAGAAACTTTACTGAAGTAATATACAGTACATGTTTGAAAATCAAGGAAAAGACGCAGTGCTCAAAAGCTGCCCAGACCACCCGGTAGAAGCCTAGGAGGCAGTCTCCTGTCCTCACTGTGGATCTGTACTATTACTCCAGCAGCATAGTATAGGGTGCCAAATTTTGGGAAAGTGCTTTCTGAACTCCGTTCTTTTATCAGTATACTCTTGTGAGGTTGTTGTGTAAGAGATAAGTATTTAAGGATAGCAGACAGGGGATCATTAATTGATGGTGGTGATTTTCTCTGGTAACAGGGTCGGTAAAAACCCAAAACTACAAGTTGCAAGTCCTAGATTTTTGTGTTTTGAGACAAGGTCTCACTGTGTACTTCAGGTTGGCCTCAGTATGTAGCCCAGCCTAGCTTCCACCTCACTGAGATCCTCCTGCCTCAGCCTCCCAAGTGCTGGGATACAGGCATGAATGAATGAATGAATGAATACGCATATGTATTTTAATTTTTTTTTTTTTAACTGGGGATTGAACCCAGGGCCTTTGCAGTGAACTGCATCCCAGCCCTTCCCCCCAAAATGATCTTGTTATATCATTTAAGTTGCCCAGACTGGACTTGAACTTTTGACCCTTCTGCCTCCAACTTCGAGGGCAGGGATAACAGGAATGCACCTTGCACTCAGAACTGTGTAATTCTTTAAAATCTAATATTTATACCAAATGTTTAAGTCTTTAAATTTTCTTTTCAGGAAAAGAAGAAAAAGAAACATAGAGACAGGAAGTCATCTGACTCTGACAGCTCAGACTCTGAGAGTGATACAGGCAAAAGGGCAAGGCACTCATCAAAAGACAGCAAGGCAGCCAAGAAGAAGAAAAAGAAAAAGAAGCATAAGAAGAAACACAAGGAGTGAGAGGAGAAGAGAGTGGGGGTGGGGTGGGTGAGAGAAGGTGGGTCCAGGAGCTTTGTGCCTTAAAGCCCTGGCCCCTGGAAAGCTTGGTAGTGAGATGGGGCCCCACCCCAGTGACTTCGCTCCTGCGGGAGATGGCCTCCCCCAGCAGCAGGCAGGTTGGGAATGAGTTGCTTCCTTATCGCACCTGACCCCTTTGCAAGTGACCCCTGCAGCCCACCCATCCATTTACTCAGCGCCCTTCACTCAGCAGGTGGTCCTTTTATCCAGCAGCCACTGCCAGAGCTGGATTCCTTGCAGGGATCCAGGCTAAAGCCACAGACACTGCTGTGGAGGTGAGCCTGGCTGTAGCTGGAGGAGACAGCGATTGCCCCTTCCTGTTGGACTGTCTTGGGCCGGCTCCTGGTCTCTGCTTCACCCACACAGGAGCAGAGGGAGAGTGGCAGTAGGGCAGAGAATGTGGTAAGAAGTGGTGCTCACTTTTTACATTCTCTCAACATGGTTCTACTCTGCTAGCCGTGACAGCATGACAGCCAGTGGCCAGTCAGAAAACGATCATTTGCAATGACTCATTTTGTGTATGACATTCCACCACACCACTGAACCAGAAGCCTGAGGCCAAGATCATTGCTGTACTTTCTATGTATTCCTGTGAGAGTCTACTGGTTCCACTTCAAGTCTCTGCTTAAATTCCTGGCACTAAATGGACTTGTGTTTTGTTTTAAACTTACTGAAAGTTCTTACTCTTATAATCCTTATTCATGAGTAACTTACAGACTTCAAGTCACAGAGCCTGCATTTGTTGACAGAAGAGAATTTTCTTTTTTATTTATTTGGTACAGGGTCTCAGTGCACAGCTCAAACTCATAGTGATCCTCCTGTCTCAGCCTCCCCAGTGCTGGGATTACAGGTGTACATCACCACGCCTGGTTTCGGGGTCGGCACAGCATGTGGTACTGGGAATCAAACTGTGACCTGACCTATCTCCCCAGCCTGAGAACTTTTTTTTCTTGAGAGGGTCTTGCTATTATAGTTCAAGTTAGCCTTCAACTGGTGATTCTCCTGTCTCAGCCTCCCAAGTGCTGGGTCATAAAAGTATTTATCTTAGACCTGGGAGAGGGGTAGAGGTGTAGAGCCAAGAGGCACTAGCAGGTCACAGCTTTCTTGGGAGATCTTTTGTAAGCCTCCCTTCTATAATTAGATGACTTCTTTCCCCAGAACTGGTTAAAAAAAACACTCAGAAACTGTAATGCTGAGTACTAGTCTGGTGCATAGCCAACAGTCATGTCCCACACAATGGAACAAGAGTTGATGCTGCATCCTGAGCCCGCGTTGTGGGAGGCATTCCAGAGAACCAGACTCAGGGATGTTAACTGTGGGATGGACCTGTGGTAAAAGGTCATGGTCAAGCCTGGGGACACACCACATACTGGACCAGCTCATTTGACCACAGGAGCAGGCAGGGGAAAGCCAAGGTGTATGGACAATTGTGTCTTTTCTTTTTGTACCAGGAATCATGACCTTGTGCTTGCCAGGCAGGCACTGAGCTATATCCTTATAAGGTGGCCAACTAACAGTCCTTGGGACTACACCTTATCCAGTGCTGCTTCCTGAGTGATCTTCAGGAAGTCGTTTCTGCCCACTGATTCACATGAGACACAGACAGTGGTGGCCTTCGTTCTGCTTTATTGACCTCAGAGCACCTATTTGGATAGTTTTTAAAAAAGCAGACCACATACATAATAGGAACTGGAACTGGATCCAGGCTGGTACCCAGGCTGATCCCCAAAGAATTTCCCAACCAAAGTGGATTTATACAAAATGCCAGAGGAAAAAAGTGAGGCAAGGTGGTGCCAGACGAGGGATAGTCACTTAGCAGAGAAGGAGTTGGTGACAGTGCCAGCAGGTCAGGTCATGCCTCCTTCTCGTACGTGCGAACGCAAACTGCACTGCCATGGGTGAGGGTCTGGAAGGAAAGATAGAGTCAGATGGGGCGAGAAAAGCAGGAAGCAGGAGCACCAGGCATCCCTCATCCTGATGGTCATCACTTGAGTATCAGCTGTATGCCAGACACGTCACACACTTTTTCCTGATGTATCTGACAAACCTTTAAGATAGGCAGTATAATCGCTATTTTAGAGATTTGGAAAAATGAGCTTTGATCAAGATCCTAGAATGTTTCTTTTTTCCTTGTACCATTCAGCTTCCTTCAGATTCTTAAGAACACAGGCACTTAGGATGATGCCTGGTGCAGAGTAGACAAATAGGTCAATAAAAATTTCTAGAGATTCTTGAGAAGTGACTGCTAACCTACCAATTCTCATTCTGTCCCTAACTTTGGGCAGTTCAAAGGCCAATTCCCTGAACCCCACTGTTCAGTCTGACATTAACAGAACCAAGCCAGTAATCTCACCAACATCCAATTGCCCTATGAATATCTATCTGGTCCTGCATATCACATCCTTACCAAAGCTAGGTGCCTAGTTCCTAACTGTAGGAACCCTGGCCCTACTGAGTTCAGGAATGCGAGAGCAGGTTACACCGGCTCAGGAAGGTCTGCAGGGAACACGTACAGGAACAATGGTCAGAGCGCACCAACAGCTGCTCTGTGCCCCTGGGTCTGGGGAGGTTCCATAAAGAACACTTTTCCAAATGAAGTCCCCAATCTTGTCCCTAAATAGATCTGACCTTGTGTTACTTCCTTACCCAGACAGTAGTCAGGGTCTTGTAGGGGGCCAACTATAGAACGTACTGAGAGGCAGAACTGGGACAGGGAAGAAAGGACTGTGCTGGTCAGTGCCCCTCATGGAGTAGTTCAGTCCTGGAGAGGAGAGGAAAGGAAGCTGTGATGGAGATAGAAACCTCTCCTCGACAGCCTGGGATCAGACTGGCCCTGCTTTCTTCCTCTTCTTGAAGGCAGGGCACACAGAGGAGGAAGCTAAGGCCATGGAACATCTGTACTTCTACCCCCTCTGTGATGTTTTCTGCCTTGCAGTATACTCTTTCAGACTTGCCTGCAGCACAGGCAAGGTTGGTGGTGTTAATATGCATTTTACAGTTGCTCTTGAAGAAGGTGACTTGCCCAAAGCATTGCAGCCTCTTAAAGTGAAATTTGAACTGAAACCTGTGAGTCCAAAACCAGGACCTTGCCTCTGCCTCTCTTGTGTCCTGTGGCACCCAGGGGAGAGCACTGAGTTTAAAAAAACAGGCCTGGCTAGGAGGCAGGAGTAGTAGCCAGTTAGGTGAGGCTCTCTAGTTGTCAGTCTTACCAGGATGAGCTTCCCATCGACTAGCTCCCGCACAAGTGTTGACTCTTGCCCGTCCCACTTCTGCACATGGATAAGTTTTCCTCCATCCAGTGTCACAATGGACTGTGGAAAGAGAATAGATGCCTAAGAAGTGACCTGAGCCACAAGTGAGGGGCAGGATGGAGTTAGGGAACTGGGGCCACAGGACACAACCTCTGATTCAAACTAGTGACGATGCTGGGACCACTTCCAAGTCTGCCCTGAGGGATGTGCAGTTCACCCTCAGCCTCTGCTCTGGTTGCCTGGCTGGGAAACGGGCCCTCAGGTAGGGAGTGGCAGAGCCAAACAGCTCAGCTTAGAAGCGCCCAAGACTCCAAGGAGGGCACTTGGCTGAGAGGGCAGTTTAGTGGCAGAGTGTGTACTTCACCCATGTGAGGCCCTGGTGATTCCTCGGCACAAACTAAACAAAACCTGAGTGCTTATCCTCTACTCTGGGAGATGCCCACAGCCCCAGGTCCCTTGAGGTATAAGTGGTATATACCCATCTTTATCCTTGAAAGAGACTGGAGAGGAGGCATCTGTGGCCATCACAAAAGACCTTTAGTGATGGGAAATACTGGAAAATTAAACTTCCCACCCCTCTTGTCAGAGCACATCACATGACTACTTCACCTGAAAAGAGCAACAACTCCAACGTCCTATGACTTTTTAAATTTTTCCAAAGATTTGTTTAGTACAGGATCTTGCTATGTAGCTTGGACTCATAGTGATTGTACTGTCTCAGCCTCTTCAGCACTAGGATTACAGGCATGCACCACCATGTCAACTTTTGGGGCACTGCATGTGGTGCCAGGATTGAATCCAGGTCCTTGCGCTTGCCAGGCAGGTGCTTAGATCACCAAGCTATCTCTGTGGCCCAGGTCTGAGTGTTGTTGAAGTGTTTCTCAGTCTTGGTTCAGATGCCCACTTAATGCTCTGGGTATGCCCAACCTGCATCAGCTGGTTCTCATTTGGCAGTTCTCCCCTCTAGGAATCTGGGGGCACAGGCCAGGCTCAGGAACCTAGACTGAGCAGAGCTCAGCAGGAGGCTGGGAAAGTTGTGTTTATGGGTAAGAGTGCTTGGCTCTTGGCCTGCCATCTGAACACAACCTACTCCATAGTCATCCAGGGTTTTTTTGCCCACTCAACAGATTAGTTTTGGTCTAGACATCCCAGGGGACTACTGCCTCAAGAGGGTGGCAGGGCCAGCCAAATAGTTTAGCAGATTAAAGCCCCTACAAGCAGGGGCTGCCCTTGGGGCACGCTGAGACAGCGATTGAGACTGGGCATCGTTGCGTGCACCTGTAATCCCAGCTCTTGGGAGGCTGTAAACAGGAGGATCACTATGAGTCCGATCTAGTAGTGAGACCCTGAACACCCTGCAAAGCCTTCCCTAAAATTAAAAAAAAAAAAAAAAAAAGTGGCAGGTTCAGGGGCATGTGCTGGGGAGCCATCTCTATCCAAGGTAGGCTGTGATCCTGGGCTGGACTTCAGCTCTTCCTCTGCAGGGAGACCAGCCCCTACCCTGTTTTACCTGGGGGCAGCTCTGAGGAAGAGGAAACAGCTGAGGGGACACTCCATACTCCAAACCTGGAGAAGTCAGAGCTTCTTTGTTTTGTCCCCTTGATGAGAGACCTGACGAAGGTGCAGAGACAGCCATGATGGGGTGAGCATCCCAAGATGGGTAGGTGCACCTACCCTGGGAGAGGGTGTGAGGGAACCTTGGTGGGAAGAGACTTAACGCCCATGGCTATGAGTGCTCCATCCCAGTGCATTGGCTCTTCCTGCCTGTCAGTTGGCAGCATTGAAAATTGTTCAGGGAGATGCTGCTAAGCCTGGGAGTTATCGATTGCAAGAGTGGAAGCACTGGAG